ATCATCTTGAAAAGAGCCTAGCCAACTCAGAAAGGCTGGTTAAAAACCACGAGAAAAACATCCAAGAGATATGGGATAACATAAAGAAACCAAACCTACGAGTCATCGGGATAGAAGAAGGTACAGAGATTCAAACCAAGGGAATGAGTAACCTGCTGAAAGAAATAATTACAGAAAACTTTCCAGAAATAAAAAAGGAAACGGATATACAAATTGTAGATGCATACGGGACACCGAGCACACAAAATCACAGTAGACCAACGCCAAGACACATTGTTATGAAGATATCCAATATACAGAACAAAGAGAAAATACTAAAAGCTACAAGAGAAAGGAGGCAGATTACATTCAGGGGTAAACCAATAAGGTTAACAACGGATTTTTCATCACAGACGCTGAAAGCGAGAAGATCCTGGAACAACGTATTTCAAACACTGAAAGACAATGGATGCCAACCAAGAATTCTGTATCCAGCAAAATTAAGCTTCAGGTACGATAACGAAATAAAAATCTTTCATGATAAACAAAAGCTAAAAGAATTTGCAGCCAGAAAACCAGCATTGCAAAGCATCTTGAGCAAAACACTACACGAGGAAGAAATGAAAAACAATAACCAAAACCATCAGTGGGAAGTGCCTCTATAAAGACAGAGGGCGGGGGGAAAGCTAACCATGGAGAAACAAACTAAATTAAAAAAAAAAAAAAAGAAGATAAATAATCAAACATGGCTGGAAGTACAAACCATATATCAATAGTAACTCTAAACATTAATGGCTTAAACTCTCCAATAAAGCGACATAGGCTGGTAACATGGATTAAAAAAACAAATCCAACAATATGCTGCCTCCAGGAGACACATCTGATTGGAAAAGACATACACAGGCTGAAGGTGAAAGGTTGGGAAAAAATATACCATGCACACGGTCCTCGTAAGCAAGCAGGGGTGGCCATCCTCATATCGAATAAAATTGACTTCAAGACTAAATTAATCAAAAGGGATAAGGAAGGACATTATATACTGTTAAAAGGAACCATTTACCAACAAGACATAACAATTATCAATATTTATGCACCAAATAATGGTGCTGCGACGTTCATAAAACAAATTCTCCTCAAGTTCAAGAATCAAATAGACCACAACACAATAATTATGGGTGACTTCAACACACCTCTCTCACAATTGGACAGATCCTCCAAACAAAAGCTGAATAAAGAAACTATAGAACTCAACATCACAATCAACAACCTAGACTTAACTGACATATATAGAATATATCAACCATCATCAAGTGGATATACTTTTTTCTCAGCAGCACATGGATCCTCCTCAAAAATAGACCATATATTATGCCATAGGGCAACCCTCAGTATATATACAGGGGTGGAGATAATACCATGCATTTTATCTGATCATAATGGAATGAAACTGGAAATCAATGATAAAAGACGGAAGGAAAAATCCTACATCACATGGAAAATGAACAATATGTTACTGAATGATCAATGGGTTACAGAAGACATAAAGGAAGAAATCAAAAAATTCTTAGAGATAAATGAAAATACAGACACAACATCGGAATCTATGGGACACAATGAAAGCAGTTTTAAGAGGGAAATTCATCGCTTGGAGGTCATTCCTCAAAAAAAGGAAAAACCAACAAATAAATGAGCTCACACTTCATCTCAAAGCCCTAGAAAAGGAAGAGCAAAACAACAGCAAATGTAGCAGAAGGCAAGAAATAATTAAAATCAGAGCGGAAATCAATGAAATTGAAACAAAAGAAACTATTGAAAAAATTAACAAAACTAAAAGTTGGTTCTTTGAAAAAATAAATAAGATCGACAGACCCTTAGCCATGCTAACGAAGAGAAGAAGAGAGAGAACTCAAATCACTAACATACGGGATGAAAAAGGCAATATCACAACAGACACTACAGAAATACAGAAGACAATTAGAAATTATTTTGAAAACCTATATTCCAATAAAATAGAAGATAGTGAAGACATTGATAAATTCCTTAAGTCATATGATTTGCCCAGACTGAGTCAGGAGGATACTCACAACTTAAACAGACCAATAACAATAGATGAAATAGAAGAAGCAATCAAAAGACTTCCAACCAAGAAAAGCCCAGGACCGGATGGGTATACAGCGGAGTTTTACAAAACCTTTAAGGAAGAATTAATACCAATACTTTTCAAGTTATTTCAGGAAATAGAAAAAGAAGGAGCTCTGCCAAATTCATTCTATGAGGCCAACATCACCCTGATTCCGAAACCAGACAAAGACACCTCAAAGAAAGAAAACTACAGACCAATATCTCTGATGAACATAGATGCAAAAATCCTCAATAAAATTCTGGCGAACCGGATACAAAGGCACATCAAAAAAATTGTGCACCATGATCAAGTTGGATTCATCCCTGGGATGCAAGGATGGTTCAATATACGGAAATCAATAAATGTTATTCACCACATCAATAGACTTAAAAATAAGAACCATATGATCATCTCAATAGACGCAGAAAAAGCATTCGACAAAGTACAGCATCCCTTTATGTTCAAAACATTAGAAAAACTAGGGATAAAAGGAACTTACCTCGACATTGTAAAAGCTATCTATGCTAAGCCTCAGGCTAGCATCATTCTCAATGGAGAAAAATTGAAGGCATTCCCCCTAAAATCTGGAACAAGACAGGGATGCCCTCTATCACCACTTCTATTCAATATAGTTCTCGAAACACTGGCCAGAGCAATTAGACAGACGAAAGAAATTAAAGGCATAAAAATAGGAAAGGAAGAACTTAAATTATCACTATTTGCAGATGACATGATTCTATACCTAGAAGACCCAAAAGGGTCTACAAAAAAACTACTAGAACTAATAAATGAATTCAGCAAAGTGGCAGGATATAAAATCAACACGCATAAATCAAAGGCATTTCTGTATATCAGCGACAAAACTTCTGAAACGGAAATGAGGAAAAACACTCCATTCACAATATCCTCAAAAAAAATAAAATACTTGGGAATCAACCTATCAAGAGAGGTGAAAGATTTATATAATGAAAACTACAAAACCCTAAAAAGAGAAGTAGAAGAAGATCTTAGAAGATGGAAAAATATACCCTGTTCATGGATAGGCAGAACTAACATCATCAAAATGGCGATATTACCAAAAGTTCTCTATAGGTTTAATGCAATGCCAATCAAAATCCCAACGGCATTTCTTGTAGAAATGGATAAAGCAATCATGAAATTCATATGGAAAAATAAAAGACCCAGAATAGCAAAAGCAATTCTAAGCAGGAAGTGTGAATCAGGCGGTATAGCGATACCAGACTTAAAACTATATTACAGAGCAATAGTAACAAAAACAGCATGGTACTGGTACCAAAACAGGAGGGTGGACCAATGGTACAGAATAGAGGACACAGAGACTAATCCACAAAGCTACAACTATCTTATATTTGATAAAGGAGCTAAAAGCATGCAATGGAGGGAGGATAGCATCTTCAACAAATGGTGCTGGGAAAACTGGAAATCCATATGCAACAAAATGAAATTGAATCCCCTCCTCTCGCCATGCACAAAAGTTAACTCAAAGTGGATCAAGGAGCTAGATATCAAATCAGAGACTCTGCGTCTGATAGAAGAAAAAGTTGGCTCCGATCTACATATTGTAGGGTCGGGCTCCAAATTCCTTAATAGGACACCCATAGCACAAAAGTTGATAACAAAAATCAACAAATGGGACTTACTTAAACTGAAAAGTTTTCTCTCAGCAAGAGAAACAATAAAAGAGGTAAATAGGGAGCCTACATCATGGGAACAAATTTTTACTCCTCACACTTCAGATAGAGCCCTAATATCCAGAGTATACAAAGAACTCAAAAAATTAAACAATAAGAAAACAAATAACCCAATCAACAAATGGGCCAAAGACCTGAACAGACACTTCTCAGAGGAGGACATACAATCAATCAACAAGTACATGAAAAAATGCTCACCATCTCTAGCAGTCAGAGAAATGCAAATCAAAACCACCCTAAGATACCATCTCACTCCAGTAAGATTGGCAGCCATTATGAAGTCAAACAACAACAAGTGCTGGAGAGGATGTGGGGAAAAGGGTACTCTTGTACATTGCTGGTGGGACTGCAAACTGGTGCGGCCAATCTGGAAAACAGTATGGAGACTCCTGGGAAAGCTGGGAATGGAACCACCATTTGACCCAGCTATTGCCCTTCTTGGACTTTTCCCTGAAGACCTTAAAAGAGCGTACTACAGGGATACTGCTACATCGATGTTCATAGCAGCACAATTCACAATTGCTAGACTGTGGAACCAACCCAGATGCCCTTCAATAGATGAATGGATAAAAAAAATGTGGCATTTATACACCATGGAGTATTACGCAGCACTAAAAAATGACAAAATCATAGAATTTGCAGGGAAATGGATGGCACTAGAGCAGATTATGCTTAGTGAAGCTAGCCAATCCCTAAAAAACAAATACCAAATGTCTTCTTTGATATAAGGAGAGCAACTAAGAACAGAGCAGGGAGGAAGAGCAGGAAGAAAAGATTAACATTAAACAGATACATGAGGTGGGATGGAAAGGGAGAGAAAAGGGAAATTGCATGGTAATGGAGGGAGACCCTCATTGTTATACAAAATTACATATAAGAGGTTGTGAGGGGAATGGGAAAATAAACAAGGAGAGATATGAATTACAGTGGATGGGGTAGAGAGAGAAGATGGGAGGGGAGGGAGGGGGGATGGTAGAGGATAGGAAAGGTAGCAGAATACAACAGTTACTAATAGGGCATCATGTAAAAATGTGGATGTGTAACCGATGTGATTCTGCAATCTGTATTTGGGGTAAAATTGGGAGTTCATAACCAACTTGAATCTAATGTATGAAATATGATATGTGAACAGCTTTATAATGTTTTGAACAACCAATAAAAAAAATTAAAAAAAAAAAAAAAAAAAAAAGAATACCAGTTATATTGGATTACATCCCGCAATGACCCTATTTGCAACTGAGGTCATATTCTGAGGTAATTGGGGTTAGAATTTCAACATGAGTTTTTTTAAAGGCATGATTCAACCCATAACGTATATATGACCAAATGGGATTGAGATTGGTTTAACACTTGAAAATTAATTAATTTAATAAAAAATTACTGACTAGAACAAAAAAAGTCTGAAAAAATTAATTAATACTACACGAATAGAATAGAGGACAAAATCTATGTTATCATCTCAATCGATGAAGAGAAATAATTGGACAATACATCAATACTTCTTGATGATTAAAATACTAAACAAATTAGAAAATTAGAAAGGAAACTTCAATTTGATAATGTATATGCATGCACACACTCCCACAAACCCATAGCTAACATCATACCCAATGACAAAGAAACAAACAAACAAAAACATGAATGCTTTCTTCTCAAGATCAGGAGTAAGATAAGAATGCTCACTCTCACTACTTCTATTTAACTTTGTGGTGAAGGTTCTAGTCAGAGCAATTAGACAAAAATAACTAAATAGTAAATAAATAAAATTTAAAATAATTCCAATTGGAAAGTTAAACTACCTTCATTCAGAAAAGACATGACCTTATGTATATAAATACCCCAAGAAATATTGGAATAAATAAGTTCAGCAAGATTGTATGATGCAAAATCAATATTAAAATGTCAATCATCTTTCTAACACTTGCAATGTACATAAAGAAAATGAATATAAGAAACCAATCCCACTTATAATTACATCAAAAGATTCAAGTACTTAGGAATAAATGTAACAAAAAGAGCAAAACTTGTATTATGTAAACAACAAATTCTTGAAAGAAATTAAAGAACACATAAATGGAAATATATCCCATGTTCATGGGCTAAAAGGCTTAGTATTGTTAAGATGGCAATATTCCTCAAACTGATCTACATTTTCAACACAATCCCGACCAAAATCTCAGATTTCTTTGTAGAAATTGACAAATTCATCCTCAAATCCATAAGAAAATGCAAAGGGGACCCAGAATAGCCAAAATAATCTTGAGAATGAGGAACAAATTCAGAGAACTCACTCTTCCCAATTTTAAAATGTACTACAAAGCTAGGGTACTCAAGACTGTATGGTACTGGCATAAGGGCAGAAATGTAGATCAATGGGTTAGAATTGATCTATACATTTATGGACTAGAATTCTTACATCTATGGTCAATTGATTATTGACAAGGTGGCAGGATAATAAAATGTGGAAGGAACCGTTTTTTCAACAAATAGTGCTGGGCTTGTTAGGCAATAGTGCTTCACCTGTGACACCAAAAATTCAAGTAACAAAAGGGAAAAAAATAGAGAAATTAAATATCATAGCAATTCACAATGTTGTGCTTCAAATGACACCATCAATAAAATGTACAAAATGTGATAAAGTTTAAAAATACCTATGTCTGATGAGAAATTTGTATTTAGAGTCCACAAAAAAATCCAAAATGTAGAAAAACAACTTAATTAAAGAACTGTCAGAGTGTGAATAGACATTTCTTCAAAGCTGATATACAAATGGTCAATAAGCATATCAAAACATGTTCAATAATATCATCCATAAAGGACATGCAAATTAAAACTACAATATGAAACCACTTCATACTCACTAGGATGGCTATTATAAAAAAATACAGATAACAACAAATGATGAGGATGTAGAAAAATTGTTACCATCATACATTGTTGGTGAAAATGTAAAATGGTGCAACAACTTTCAAAAACAATCTGGCAGTTCCTCAAAAGGTTAAACATAGTCACCATTAATTCCACTCCTCAGTATATACCCAAGAGAAATGAAAATGTCTATACAAAAACTTACATGTGGATGTAATGCAGAATGATTCATAATAGCTCAAAGTAGAAACAACCTAATGTCCATCAACTGATGAATGGATAAATAAGCTATATATCTATTTTGTTTATTTATTTTTATGTGGTGCTGAGGATCAAACTCAAGTCTCACATGTGCGAGGCGAGCATTCTACCACTGAGCCACAAGCCCAGCCCCTAAGCTATATATCTATATAGTAGGTTATGACTTGGCTATAAAAATAATTAAATAAATATAAATGATCATAGCTGGCTACAATCCAGCTACTACAATGGATGAACCTTGAAAACATGCTAAGTGAAAGAATCAGCCACAAAAGACCATACATTGTATGAATCTATTTATATGAAACCTTCAGAATAGGCAAATGCATAGAGACAGATTTGTGGTTGCCTAGGGCAAGGGTGCAGTGGAGTAACTGCTAACGGGTACAGGTTTTCTTGCTGGTGGGATGAAAATGCTTTGAAATTTATTGTGGTAATAGTTGCAGAACTTTGTGAATATACTAAGATGCTGATTTGTACCATTTACACGGGTGACTGCTATGTGAGTGAATTACATCTCAATGAAATTATCCCCCTCCTTCCACACACCCCCCAAAAGGCGGGGCAAGGTAAAGTTTCTGGAGGTAAAACTTTTGACTGCAGACTATTTTCTTTGGTCCTGGCCCTATTCACTGGGGCCAGCAGACTGTAGTAATGAAGAGTTGGCCAAAGCCCAAAGGAACTCTTGCTCTGTGCTTTGCCTTGAGCAATTTATTTTTAAATAACCCTTTGTCAAATTAGACATACACAGCCTAGTTTTGCATATCCTCTCCTAGGGTTTTTGATGTTTTTATCTTGGGGATGAGGTGGGGCATGGAGAGTATGTTTTCCTCTTTGAAAGATGTGATGGGTTAAGGGCCAATTGTCAGCTTTAGTTTTCTTGGCCCCTGATTCTTGTCCACTTTCAACTCCAACAGCTTCCAGTATCAATCAAGCAGGAGCCAAACTCTCCATGAGCCAAAAAGATCTCCTCACTGCTCTGAATTTCTAATTTTCTGTCTTTAACGGATGTGCAGCCTTTGTTCTGTGTCCCTGGAGGGCTGGCGCAAGGTGGGGTGGGGGGAGCGATCCAAGGGAACCTTGTAAACAGTGAAAAAAATAAAGGCTTTTTGGCATTTCAGTTACCCAGTGCTCCTAATTGTGAGGCCAGGGAGTTGGTTGGAGACTTTGGGTTTGAGTTGAGTTCCACAAGTACAGAATGGGAGCCAAAGATGACTGGGGTGGGGTGTGGACTGGAGTGGTGGTGGTGGGCAGCTTCATTTAGGTAAGCTAGATGTATTAGAAGAACATCAATTCTAATGCACCAGTAGCTGTACTGGTCCGGTTCATGGGGCTCCCCAGATTCACTTGGCCTCACCTGCATCACCCCCAGCCCCATCTGCAGCCAGTTGCTCTCTGGGAGGCCTGGCTGCTACTGCAGTTGTGCTGTTTGCTGTTTTATCTCTGCTGGAAGAGGGGAGGGAGTATTGAGAGCCGGACTTCAGCATGGACTCCATCAAGTCTGCTGCTTGAAGATCCAAAGTAACTTCATTCAATACAATTGGGCCCACCTGTCACAAGCCATCCATAGGCTGTGTGTGTAAGCTAAGTGCATTTGAGCAGTATGAGGGAACTGGTCTGATGTTCCTGCCTAATTGGGCTGTGTGACATATGTGTGCCTTTTCTCTTGCTCTGCCTGTGACCCAACACAGCACCTGAGATGGATGTGACTTTCCAAAATGTCCATCAACCTGCTGACCACAAGACTTTCTCTTACCTGCCTTCTACCCTTCCACTGTTGTAAGCCACCATCATTCCACACAGCTTTTTCCAAGATCATCTGGGAACTTGGAAACCAGCAAGGTTTTCTTCTGAGGCTTTGTCCAGCTCAGTGACACCCCCCTTTGTATATGCTTTCTCTGCTTCCTGGGCTCATTTCCCTTTTTCCTTTCCTTTTCCTGCCCTGGCATTGTAATCCTCAATAAAGCATAAGTTCCTAAGCTTTTTTCATGCTCTATTTTCTAGAAAAAGTGAGCTCAGACAAAGACGAAGGCAAATATCACATCTACTAGAATCAAAGGAAGAGGAAGATGGAAAACTCACAAGGTCTGGAAAGGATGGGTAAAAACCAGAGAAGGTAAGGAATAAATAAAGGGGGCAAATAGTGGTAGTTGCCATCCTCATGGAATGCAGAGGAAGACAGTCTTTAAATCCTGCTATCATATACACAAATATAGATGGGCAGGAAGTGAAGGAAAGTTACATGGTGCAAGGAGAGCCTATATAACTGTGAACTTGATTTAGTCTGAAAGGTCAATAAGACTTTTGTAAGAAAATGTCATTGGGAGTGAGATCTATTTCTGGGATACAATAAAAGGGTGGGAATGAAAACGAGGGGAAGCTGTTTCAGACAAATGGAATGACAGGTATCATTACTTCCACTGTTGGGGGAACAGGAAGAACCTCACCCCATAGAGAAAGGGGCCTGCAGAGCTTGACTCTTAAAAATTTCAACCCACAATAAACATACTGCATTTTACATCTTAACCTAGTATCCACACACGTTCACGAACACGCACAACTGAAACAGAAGTTCGTGGAACAATATTTATCCTTATATATAGGGGATTTTCATAGTAGGTATTGACACTTAAATGTGCATATACTTCTGTGGTGTTCACTGCAGCCCTGTGGGCAGTTTATACATATAAAATGAAATGTGTTATGGTAGATATATATGTGCTAATATGGAAAGTTGTGCATACTATTGTAAACAGTGTATATAATATGACCACAACATGTTAAATATCTTAATATAGGAAGGAGTATTTGTATAAAATAGGGCTATGAAAGTGGCTACTTCTCAAATGACAGGGGATTTTTCTATTTCACTATTTGCACTTTTTACACCAGAGAATATGCATTCCTTTAGCTTTGGATTTTTCTGCTAGGTTTGGGCCACATTAACATTTTAGGACTGTTAGGCCATGCTGTTGTGAACAGCTCTCTGTCATTGGAGAGGTTTCTCTGTAGAACCATTTATTTCCTTTCTTCACTATGAAACGTTCCTCCTTCAGAATACTTCAGGGGTGTGTATTACAATACTTATTTAGATTCCTGGTACGAGGCAAGAAAATAGCAAATTTTTTTCTGGGAGTATTTTTAATTTATAAAAATGTAATGTTTAGTGCTGATGGGACTAGTCTACTAACCCCTCTCCTAAATAAGAAACGCAGCCTATGCACACAAAATCATCCTCACTATATAGATGAGTGAGTGAGAAGAAATCTAATCTTTCTTCCTGTGGAACAGACTGCTTTGGCAATGAGCCCAGTCATTCAGGAGTTCTCCATGATCTGTTATTTAAATCCAGTTCATAATTATGACTGATTTTAGGCAGGAGGCCAAAATAAAAAGATTGACTAAATATATCTTTGTTTTTTCCATCCTGTCCCTTCTTGCCATCTCCAATTTTAACACAAGTGCTAACTCCGAGGTCAGGGTTAGAAATACAGACACCCCAACATGAGTACTCTATTAATACAAAGCCAAAGTTTCCAAAAAGTCCACATAGCCTCAAATGAGATGGGATGCCACCATATTCTGAAGAGGACAACAGTCAGATTGAACTCGAGAGTGCACATGATATTTAACTTCAAAACTGCTTGCTGCCACTTAAATTCCAGCTCCTCTAGGTTGAAGCCAATCCTCCAAAGGTGTCTTATTCATCTTTTGACTCTAGCACCTGGCATAGGACCTCATATAGGTGTCCAGGAAAAGACTGCTGAGTGGAATTTTTAGGTCTATCGGAGATGAATATTTTCTTTTTCTCCCAGCACTCCACTACCATGGCTATTCAACCACTTCTCAAAACCCCCCTATGTTTGCTTGTAATTAAAACAAAACAAAACAAAACAAAAAGCAACTTCATGTATAATCCATCTGGAGTTTATTTTGATGTGTAGTAAGGCAACATAACTTTGTTTCAATCTGAAATGCCACTTTTTAACATCATTGATTTTGAAATCTTTATTTTATTCTATTCTTCTCTTTGTTCCTATGCTAGTAACACACTGTTCAAATAATGGCAGTTTTCCAGTCTACTTGAATATCGAATAGGATGATCACCCTCACACCTTCCAACTCAATTATCCTTTTTAAAAAAAATTTTTTTAGTTGTAGATTATTTTTAGATACTTCATAGTGTATTATACATAATAAGTAGGAATCTTCCATCATTTTTTAACATGATCGTTTGGACATTTGTTTTATATTCAATCATTTTATTGAGTTCTTACTAGATATTTGATCATTTAGTCATCCAATCAACCAACCTTTACTAAGCACTAAATACATGTGGGATACAGTAAGGAAAATGCAAATGTATATTCAGGAATGTACTTTGCTGTGAACCCTCTCCACTTGCACCTGGCTTAAATGAATAAGGAGTTTCATTTATTCCTCACATAATGTGAAATCCAAGGAGGCAGTCCAGGCTGTTTTGGTTCCACAATGTCAAGATGACTCAGGCTCTCAATGTCTGTCTGTCTGTCCATTCTTACTGCATACTTGGCATTGTGGGACCCCCAGCACATCCAGCATTCTATCTGCATTCCAAGTAGGAAACAGGGCAGGGGCAAAGGACAAGAAAAGCTTGATATTAAGCCCAATCTCCCCACTCTAACTTTCCCAGAATCCTACTCCATGCATTTAGCCTATACTCAACTGGTCAAAACTGTATCGCATGACCAGGTTCATCTCCATTGGCCCCTTTATTGCTCCCCTCCCATCAGAATTGTGTTAGGAAGAAGGGGAGGAAGAAATTCCTGCCTTTACAAAGAGATTCAAAGAATTCATCGCTGAAAGTCTTGGATTTCCAGCAACTCAGTCTTTGGACTTCTTTTTTTTTACTTTATCTCCACTCATTCCATCGGTGATCTCATTCTCTCTCACTGTAACTAGCTGCACACTAGTGACAAGCATATTTACATTTTTAGTCCAGCACTCTCGCCTGAACTTCAGACTAAAACAGCTAACTTGGCAGATCCACTTGAATGTCTACTGAGTATCTCTAATTTAACCTGTTCAAAGCAAATGTCTTCACCAAACTGTTCCTCCCACAGCGTTACCTATCTCATACATAACAATGTATACTTGTAGTTGCTTGGGCTACTCTGCCTGTCTTGCATCTTACACCAGGAAATTCTGTTTGGCTTTACTTTTTCCTTCTAAATATACTCAGAATCCCAGCACTTCTTATCATTTCTACCACTAATATTCTGATCCAAGACACCATATTTTATGCCTGTACTACTGCAACAGCCTCCTAAAGTCCTCATCCACATAAACAACCCTTTCTAAATTGTTCTTGACCTCCTCTTTTCTATAATTTCATCCTTTGCTTGTGCACTTAACCCACCATTATTCCTACAATGTCAGTACCCAAAGCTGCAACCTCTCTAGAGTCTCAGAGTTATGTACCCCATGGTTGACAACCACTCTTACCCACCCATTGTTTCCTCTTTCATTCTCACTCCAATATTCCTCCAATTCTGATAGGACCCATAAACCTTCAATCTGACAATTTTCCACCGCCCTTCACTTTCCCCTTACATTCTCACTTTTCTTCTGAGCTTAAATTTCAGTCAATGATTTTTTTTGTCTTCCTGTCTTCAACTTTCTTGCCCTTTTCTCATTTGGCAATATAGCAAACTCCCAAATCTGATCAGATCACCTCTTCACCTAATCTGAGTCTGCACCCATACAGCTGATATAGCTGTAAAAAAAATGATAATTAAGTGGACTAGATCCTACATTCAATTCACGATCACTGATCTCAAGCGGAACACTGATCACAGCCTGAAAATCATACTCTATCTCCCTAGGCTTTTTGCCCTCTCATTCAGATCCTTTTCTTGTCTCTTCCCTTCTTCTCATTCCTCCACCTTCCCTCCCCTGCCATTTAGACTCATATGATAATGTTCCTTCATATTTTAATGAGAAAAATAGAAGTGCAGAGACTCTTCACAAGCTCCCACATTATCTGCCACCTCTGTACCCACACACTCAATCTTTTCTCCTGTTAACATGGATGAACTTTTTGAGGTTTTTTTATTAAACCAATCCCTTGTATGCTCAATTCCATCTGATCTCATCCAGGCAAGGATATCATTCCAGTAATTCATCCCTGTCTGCTGAATCAAAATTTCTTGTTTTCTGAATTATTTTCCTTTACATACATTATTTCATCTTAAAAACAAACATCTTCTCTTGACTCCATTTCCCCCTTCCAACCATTATGTTATTTTTTTAACAAACTCTCTGAAATAAATGTTTATATTAACTATCTCTAAACTAACTCCTCCTACTCTATTAAACTCAATCCATTAAGGTTCAGCCTCATCACTTATTGAAACCAACTCTGATTAAAGTCAACAAATAATTTTCCTACTCACTTCTGTTTATTTTTCATATCTCCGTCAAATCCCATTGAAACATTTGGACATTACTAAATCAATTTCTCTAATATATTCAAGTCACTGTTATATCACTTACCATGGTTTTAATTTTTATTTGTGTATAATTCTTTGATTTACCTTTCTCTTCCTTAGTAAACTAAGTTCCATAAGGGGAGCAGTAATATCTATTTTTCTATCACAATAATATGGCTCGTGTCTAGCACGTCTGGTCCACAGAAGGCTGTCAATAAATATTTAGGGAGATAAATGCTTTATTATCACCAACCCCATCTTATATTTGGGATTAGGAGACTCCTAGAAGCAAATATAAGCTGAAAGGCACAATGTGGATTATTGGTACAGTAAGGACTAGGAGTAGTATAAAATACTGATTTCCATTCTACATTTTAGAGTTGCTTTGGCCTTATAGACCCACCACTATTTAGGGATGGAAAGAACAAACTATACTATCTATGCAATGTCGAGTCCTCCCTGTATCCAAAAAAGCTTAGCTGCCAATTCAACAGAGCTGCCCAGCATTGTCAATTACTCTGGTTCCTGTGTACAAAGTGTCCAGGGAGAAGGGCATCTGTTTGAAGTTACATCCCACAGGGGTGCATCACTCATCAATGATTTGCAAATTATGGACCATGAAGACTATTGGGAAGAGTGAGTAGGAGGATCAATTTAAGGTTGGAACATTAAAATTCACTGTCAGCTGAAGACCAATAATAAACAGAGCAAAAGTACTCCAAGAATAAAACTATGAGGCAAATAAGATTTGTGTTAACACAACTTTTAAGGAACATTCTATATTAAAAAGATCTATGGGCACTAGCTGGAAAGCTCTACATTTTGAGAATAGTGAGCCATCAGGCATCATTGTCATGAGATACACAGTCATTTTCACCACTCTGTGAGTGACTACTACTACTAGATGATAATATGATCCAAATGGTACACTCTGAAGATAAAAAGAGGCATTATTAAAAATTATGCCTAGGGCTGGGGATGTGGCTCAAGCGGTAGCGCGCTCGCCTGGCATGCGTGCGGCCTGGGTTCGATCCTCAGCACCACATACAAACAAAGATGTTGTGCCTGCCGAAAACTAAAAAATAAAAGATTAAAATTCTCTCTCAAAAAAAAAATTATGCCTAGGATTGTCTCAGGCAAATAAATAGCATTGGTCACACTTTAGAAACCATCCTCTACTCATTACACATAGAGAAAACCAGGTGTTGATTCATGCAAATAACTTCATTAGGCAAATCAACAATAGCAGCAACAGTCAGACACTGCTACAGGTCTAGTCTGGGTTCTATTCATATCATTTTGACCCTGAATAGTCATGCTAATACTTATCATGTCCACTAGTTAAAAGAAAGTAACAGTCACTTCCTTTGTCTAGTTGTTTTTCTTGCCCCTTCTCACCTGATCTACAATCTTTAGGGAGGGCCATTTTTATTTCCAATTTAAGTTTAACCTGAATGTTAAGAAAGAATCTACCCTTCTATGATAAGCTAACTCAAATAAAATCATTCTTCAAATTTCCAGAGGCACCCTCTTCCCAAAGGTACATTTCCACAAACCATATCTTCTTTATCCAAGACTGAATTCTATTTATTCACTGAATCAACATAGCAAAAGCAAGACACTAGCCACAAAACTTTATTGTAGGGATCAATACATATATCCTCTAAGAAATATTTTGAGCCATTCAGTTGATGTTCACATCAGAATCTGTTTTTGGTTTGTGTGGCAAGAGAAAAAAATAAAGATTATTGCAAAATCATGAATCATGTCCAAAAGGCCTGATTAAAAAAAAATCTATAAAATGGAAGAATTACATACTGCCAGCTCTACTGTGTCAACAAGCATTGTACAATTCAAATAAAAAAGATGACCCCATATAAGTCCAATGAGGAGGATGCTGGCAAGTGGGAGTGAACAATGTATTATAAAAAATGTTGAGTCAAAAAATGAAATACAAAAAATAAAAAATAAAATTTTCGTCAGAAAACTGTGACTACATAATACCATGTAAGGATGTCTACTAGCTGCTTTCTTTAACTAGTTGATAGTTTTCTATTTATTCATAAGGAAAGTGGAAAATACTCTGATTTTAAGTGGATTCTTTCTTCTCTGCTATCTAGAACTCACTAACATGTGATCTATCCTTGTCAATCTGTAGAAATGAGGAAATAAAAATCAGTGTCTGGCTTTCAGTGGGACACTCACAACACCCGAATGAGATCCAGAGTAATCCTAGATCGGGGGATGTCAATGTTCAGTACTCGGACTTCCACTCTTTCTCCAGGGCCCAGTCCAAGACTCCTTCTCTTTTTTGTTTTAGAAAGTTTTGCTTCTGTTACATTTCGTATGGGGATCAACCCTGATTTTCCCACTCCTATATCCACAAAAATCCCAAACAGAGTGGCATTCTCAACTTTGCCTGTAAGAACTGTTCCAACCTGCAGATCTTCCAAGCACACTATACTTCTCTTGAAATCAGGTTTATCAAACTCTGTAAGGGAAGAGAAAAATTTATGTAACTAATAATGCATTGTACTTCTTAGATACAATATAACTTAGTGGATCAGCACTGACTACATATTGATTATATGCTCAGACCAATATTAGACTTTGAAGGAGGACATAAACACAGCAGAAGACATATCCCGGTTTGAATTGTAATGCAAATAATAATAATAATAGAGCTTATGTAAAAATGAATAAATAAATAAGAAAAAGAAAATGCACTCTATAAGAAATAGCAGTCACAGAGTAGAAATAATTTGAGAAGATTTACTTACTTTCTTCTCCCTGAACTCTATATCACTTATGTAAACATTTGCACTACTCATAGTCTTCGACTATATTTTTCTTTGTAAGAAATGATGACCACATTATTTTTGGTTAATGAATATACATGCTTAAATCATAAACACTGAGAAAGTAAGATCCTTGGAGACTGGGAATTTTGTTTTCAGTGCCTGAATCCTTAAGCTGTATAAAAGTGGCAGAAAAGACATTAACTTTTGGTTAAAGGTGGATGAAATTCAAATGTTCTGTCTTCTAATTTTTTCCTGCAAAACTGGAACTCAGGAATCAATTCTTGTCCATTTCAAATATATTTATGGATTCTTGATTATACAAAATTTATGAATTATGATTCTGGATGTCTTGGTCAGGTACCCAAACCATCTAGAACCCAACCTTCTTTTTCTTCTTTCAAATTCAATTCATCAAACATATATTAACTCCTATTATTACCTCCTGGTCAGGCACTCTGCTGGACACTAGAGATACAAAGATGAAGACATTAGATCTCTGTTCTCAAGTGCCTACAGCCCCCTCATTCCTTGCTTATCCAAGCATACATTTCTCTGTTCACTAGTACTCACTGTCCCCTAAGAGGTGGACATAAAGCATGCCAAGGAATCATTATGGCTCTAGTTAAAATAAAAAAACAACAACTCAGGTTTTATGAGGGAGATAGTGAGAACTAACAGTTTAAATGGACCTGTGAATTATCTGTGGCCTCCATTTATCCATGCTCTTCTTGGCCCCCTTTCCTAGGATTACTGAGTGTTGACTCTAATAACAAAGAACACATTCTATGCTTGGATCTCCTTTTACTAAGACCTCATTTTCCCCTCCACCCAGTCCATTTCCTTTTCCTCCACAGCTGTTGGCTTTATCCTGATTACTTGTTAGAGCTATCCTTTACATTTGTATTAACAACTGGTCACCTCTTTGTTCCCCTCCCCCAGTTCAACCACACGAAAACCAGGATCTTTTAAAAATTAAGCTTTTTCCTGTAAAACAAAACAAAAGTCCCCTTTAAACCCTAAATCTCATTTTTCCTCACTTAAAAAAAAAAAAGAGAAAGAGAATATGCTAAAAGTGGAATTGATTCTGTAGAATTTCACCTGATGCTGAAGCAATGAATTCCTAAAGCAAGAAGCCTACTGTAATGTAATGTTACACCGGGCAGCGACTATGTCAAAGCAAAGTAAAACTAAGTCGTTGATCAAGGCCAGAGGTAGGATGGTCTCTGAGGCCCTATAAGGCATTGTTTTTATGCTTGGAAACTCCCCCCCCCCACCCTTTTTCTTACAGCGGTCCAGCTGCTGCAGATTCCCCAAGGGGTTCTGATCAGCTGCTTAGTTTAATTCTGCATGGAAAATCAGAGTCAGAAACTATTTAACATGTTCCTGAAGACAGTCTGGGCCACTGAGAAATCAGAAAATCCTCCATATACCCTGTAAACTTTAACACTTTGATAGCCAAGGCTGTGTATTCAGGCCACTGTCACCAGACTGCTCCTGATGAATCCCACTAGGGAAACTAACTTGCAACTAGAGTGTTAATAAAAATGGAATCGATTATGTCACTGAGAAAACAGAAGACAGGATGAATATAAGGAAAAAAATGAATCAGCATTAAGAAAGGAAATACTTTTGAGAAAATGGAGAAAAGAAATGTAACATAAATACTACTATGTGGAAACACCCAAAATATTATCTACCTTCTCAACAAGCGTAACTATTCTCCCTTCACCTTGGGAGTGACTGTCATGTAGCAAAATGACAGTTCTAGATATAGTGAAAATTGTGACTTTTGTTGCTTAAAGACACATATTTGAAATGTCACTTAACACACTGATAAACACTCTAGTAACTGGAAAGCTCAGTCCAAAGCCCAGGTTCATCTATGTTTCTGCTGAACAAAGGGCATCTCAGGTAAGAATCTCTACTTATCTTGGTTGGCTAAGTGGAGGACATAATTTGAGTGCTGATCTTTTCTCTAAGTTCACCACATAAGTGGGATGATGGTGCGATCAACACCATAACAGAAAAACAAAAATGGACAGGGATATCCTGGTATAGGATACCTGTAGCTAAAGCACATTTAACAACCATCCACAGCCATGGCATAGGCCTGCCACTTCAAACCCCCACCCTGTTTGAGAACCACTGCTCTATGTAGTATTTCTGCTAGACATATCCATGACATTCACACACAAAGAATCAGGCTTCCAAATGGAGATGGATATGTTTGTTGAAACAGTTATTTTGTGAGAAGGACAACCTGGAGGGGTCTATGCCCACATTTTTGCCATGGTCTAACTGGGTGTTTTATTTATTTATTTATTTATTTATTTATTTATTTATTTATTTATTTAATTTAGGACCTACAGAACACTAGGGAATAGTACAATGAATGAACTTGCTGGGTGTGTTTTGAAATTTCCTTAAATCTTTTCAAGGAAACATGTCCAACTATCTTACACTGCCTAATCCAGACTGAAAAGAGCCAAGCACTATATATGGCATCATCAAAACTAGTTAAGAGACAAGTGTGCAGATTCATTTAAATCTCAGGGGTTCCTAGTCAAACTTCCTTAGGAAGTAGGTCATTTAATACCTTAATTCTTTTTCACCGGTCATTGCTCTCAACAACTATGGCTATTATACTTCCCTCACCCCTACCTGTGCTGAAAGCTGAGAGCACTTTTAATTAGAAGTAAAATCAACAGAGATATCATCTTATTTGTTCAATGTGCTCATTGACACTGAATCCAGAAACTTGGAAGGCTGTAATTTAGGATGAAGATTCACATTTTAGTTTGTGAATAGAATGACTTACCTTGCACTTCTGTCTTCTAGGATATAAAAACAGTGTACAAGAAGAATGACAAAAAAATGTGTGCCTTCATGCATAAGCAGGACATATATAATGCATCTAGTCCAGTGATGTGACAAATGAACAGTGGGCAAGGAGTCTGCAGACCTGGTTTTCAGCTTTGGCTCTAAACTAAGTATAAGAACTTTGAAGGACGATTACTAAGTTCAATTTTCTCATATATAGAATGAAAGAATCTGTTTTATTCATGGCATAGAGCTGTTATGGGGGTCAAAAGAGACAACATAAGCTACATAAGACCGAGGTGTTATAATTCAAGTTCAACTCACCTGTTCGAAAGTCAAAGCTTTCAGGCTGGCTGAGACCATCTATGATGACCTGTAAAGTGTGTGCTGTTGTCTGCAATCTTTCAGCAGTTTTCTCTATTCCTTCCTTTTCAAGGGATGAATTTATTTTTTGTTGCATTTCAGGCTTTCCAATTTCACACAGTGTCCCTCCAATGAATGATAAAAACCTTCAGTAGAAAGAAAAGCCCCAAATTTATCAATAATATTACTTCTTTCTCACTATCCTTACACAGATTTTCTTAAAATTCATTCATTTCAGATTTATAAATTGCCACCTCAGATCTACACATCACCATACATCAATCAATCATTCTTTAATGAGAATCTACTATGAGTACCATGCTATATAAGAGGTGATCTATCTTGAGTGGAGGAAGACAGGGGCAGGGAATGGAGTTGATTGAGGTTCTTATACTTTTTTTAAATGAAGCACTTGCTCACAGTCAGCACCAGAACATTTTACAGTAATGCTCATTGTAGACTAGTGTCATATATATTTTCTAAATAAGGTTGTTTCCTGAAATTTCTGTTAGGATAACATTTGAATTTACATGAGCTAATAAGAAAACCATTAATTGGTAATACTTTGGTATTATCCAACAAAATATGCATCAAGCATTGCCAGCTTCTGACAAATGATTTGTTGTATTCATGGGTGGTATCATTGCTTTTTACTTTTATGTAGCTGTGATGGGAGCATCACCTTGCAGCCCACTTTTAGGCCTAAAGACTCCCTAATTCCATCAAGTCTCGTATTAACTAAATTATATCAAGAACATGCAATATGCAAATTCAACAGATGAAATATGGAAGGGGAGCTAGGGAAAGGGTTTAAAGGTAGAGCATGCGCTTAGCACATATGAGGCCCTGGGTTCAATCTCTCTCTCTCTCTCTCTCTCACACACACACACACACACACAGCAAAAGTGGTGGCATATCTGAAACAAAAAGTAATTTACTTCCAAAATGGAATCAAGTTTAAGACCTCAATTGTATAATCTAAAGATGAATATTATCTTTATATATTTTATGCATGAAATAGCTACAACATTTGCCCAATAAACAGAGCTGACTTAAAAATTTCCTTTTGCTATGTTTACTGTTTCCCTTGCTTGTACAGCTGCCTCTCAACTACTTAGCTTTGAAGTTCAGAAATGAGTAAGAGAAAAAGACAAGTCAAGTAAAGGGTTAAGACGTATTTTCCTTCAATTTCATGTGAATATTGGGCTGTAGCTTACTTTCTGACATTCCTTGGCTGGGTATTTTTCTACTTCATTAAGTTCCATTTCCTATGATTAATGGCACTTTAAAAACGTCAACACAGTAATCAGACAGACAGTGATACTAATGCCCTCAAATCCTTTCCTCTAAGGACATCTCTTGAATACAAGAAGGGAAAGGAAAACTGTTGGAAGTTTGTCTACAGTCAGGACTGGGATGTATCCCATTTGGCAGGCTGCTATGTCATCACAAAAGGAATGGATATATAATTCCACGTTTTTATTTTGCACTGTTGTGTTCAACTAGAAAGTGCCTCTTCAGCAGTACTCTGGTAATGATAATCTGGTATCTGGTGGAGAAAGCTCCTCCATCTCTGATTTAACTAGGGTGTCCCTTTGAGTTCAAAGGAGCCGCCCTCCTACATTTCTAATGGCCTTTTTGTGTGTGTGTAAAAATAAAATAAATATTTCCATATTCTTCAGTATCCAGCTAATCTTTTGAGAATATATTTTAGTAAATGGTTTAATAAAAGATAAGGAGACTTAATGTCCTTCTTTGGAAATGAGCTTCTATCCAAACTAGAAGCCAGTTTGTAAGTCTACAGCTTCCCCCCAGCAGGCAGAGGCAGCCGGTATCAGTGCTGACGGATGGGCAGTAGCACATAGGGTCTGGTGACAGGGCACAGCTGTTGGAGGTCTGACTGACAGGGCAGATGACACATGACAACCTCTGCCCACAGCCAACTTCCTTACACAAGTTTCTAAATAATTCATACCCTGCTGAGCAGGCTTCCCTGGTATTCACTGTCTTGGCTTTATTGGTCTGCAACTGGCTACTTAAGCAGGACATCTTTCAAATCCTCAAGATTCTGGCTTATAACCATCTGTTAAAATGCCCAAAAAAAATGTATTCATGGGCTGTAAATCTATAACCTTGAATGGCATTTTACAATTAATAGAAGTAACTAAACAGTAAAAAGTTCCCAAAGCACTGTACATCTTGGCCTCAATAACAAAAATACACACTCAGCAGGCCACTTGGAGAATTTAGATTGTGTATCTGTGTGTAAGAGAGGAACTAATTGCTACCAAAGTAACTTCCATATAAAGAATTCTACTTATAGTGATTGCAGATCTCAGAAGAAAATTGGTCTGTTTAACCTGGGTGCCTATTTCACATATCATTTTCATTCTTACACACACAAGCCTGAGGGCACTAGTAACTGAAATCAATAAAAAAAAAAGTACCAGGTTGTGCTCCTAGCTAATACTTCACATTGATCAACTCTATTTTTAAATGACTACAGAGCTAAGTTGAGTGCTTTTTTACTTTGAAAACTTTCTTAAAGAAGAAGGTTACACAAAGAGAAAAACAGCAAACCAAAGGGGAGAGGGACTATAAAATGAACTGGGAGTAGCACTAGGATTGACCTCTCCTTACTGGCTTTCAAATATATTCAGATGCATATGGTAGGAAGCAGTGCTTTCTGCTTAGTAGCCATTAAATAGACATATGATTCTTATAGAGCCTAAAAAAAATTATTCTACATATTCCAAATTTTCACTTTAGAATTGAGAAATAATACTCAATACAAGTATTTCCTAGCTCAAAAGTACTAAATTAAAATGACTTTAAGAAGCTTGGAACACAGAATGTAAGAGAACATGTGCTGATCAGTAGGTGCACAGCATTATGTTAGCTGGGTATTCTCATTTAATCAGGGCAACAATCCTAAAAGGACAATAATCCTGTATACTATCACACAGAAAAGAAAAATTAAGGTTCAAGGGAGGTTAAATAACTTGCCCAGGGCCATGTAGCTATTCCTACTAACTGGAGTTTCATTCCACATACAGGTTATCTGTCTGTATAACTGAAAGCACATAAAAATTAACATGTTGTATTTGGTTAAGATAGAAAACACAATATTATGGATAATATTTTACCAACATGATTTAATGGAAGATTACTTTTAAACACCAGACAGTTAACACTGAGTAAATCCCACAAAGAACTTATCATATACAAGCTTTTAAATAGACAAATTCTCTCCAAAGTTAATGAGTTATTAAAGTCATAGTTTCATTTTCTCCACTGTCTCTGGAAGGCTTTTTCAGCTTACTAAGGACTGCTGCTAGAGCTGCTGTTTTTATTTAATATGTAATTTCATCCATCTTACTTAAAGTAAGAAAGTAGCATAAATGCAACAAATAAGCACATCATGTTCTTTTAGCACACATCTGCACAAAGTTAAAATACAGACCTTGGAACAGAGATAATGCTTATTTTTCAAACAGAAAGCTACATAACTAAATCACTCACAGCTATACAACCTAAAATCAGTGATATGTCCAACAGAGACTTGTTACAAATGCAAGGCTTTTCTTCTCAAAGAATAAGAACAGTCTTTATATATATATATATTTTTTCCCCCCCCAAAGAAGAATAAATTCTCAGAATTCACGAGACTTCAGACATAGCTGTTCAGTTTTATGTAATCATTTCCAGCATGGAGATTTAGGCACTGGGGACTCAGGTTCATTACATGAAAGCAACATGATACCTACAGAGCACAGAAAAGCCTGGTGATGCAACACAAGCACTAAAAACAATTTCGTATTAGCATGTGCTTCGTGGGCAATGCACACACGACCCATACTTCCACCAGGAACCTTGCTATCCGGCAGAGAACTTCTAGCTGTCCACCCATACCTTTCATTCTCAGACGCCTTCGTACTTGTTTAAAATGTTTTTATCCATTAATTTTACTCAATTTTAACATAATTTCACCAATAAGCAAAAAATTAATGGCAAGAACACCATCATTTTGGAAATGAATAGGAACAAGTTCCAATTTGTAAAACAGTGAGAAATGTAGTGTTTTTTGTTTGTTTGTTTGTTTTGTTTTTTTAAAGAGAGCTTACACTTTAAGAAAAAAGTCTGGACTTTAAAAACTCTGATTATAGATTGAATAGTGAGACATGAATGAGAAGTCCAGCATTACTTTGTTATTCTAAAAATACATATATTTTCAAATCAACAATATGTTAACATGAAAGACTGAATATAAGTTCAAATGAGGCAAAGGAGAAAAATCGCTCCTCCTCTGACCTTACCTACAGGAGAGCTAAATTCCCTCTGGTGAGTGCGGGGCAGCATGGATGGAGTTGAGCTTAGAGAGAGAGGGCCAACTTTACCACATCTGCTGCTCTAGTGGTCAAATCAAAGCGACAGCAATGTGAATTGTACTTTAATCATCAAAGAATCTTTTCAAACTTCTAACCTCCTTGTTAAATCAAGACACTGAACTGGGCCAGAATCCTTAAAAATCTATGTTGGTGTAAAACCCACAAGGAGTTGTAAATTCAAGAAGAGCCCCCCAGAATACCTCCTTACTACAGAAGCTAGTAAAGAGCTAATGAAAATAATATCTAAATGGCTTTTCTCAGCATTTGATCAACAGAAAATAAGCACAAATAACTCTTCATGAGAATGTACAGCTGACTGGACTTAATCAAAATTAACATATTATCAACAGATAAATAGTTTAAAAATGTAACCGGTTCAGAGAGGGTGGCGGGCTTGTTCTGAAAGCTTTCACAGACTGATCTGAGAGTACAGTTTTAAATAACGTGCAGCTACCTGGGCTGGGTAGGGTACCTTTAATGTTATTGCTTGGTACCATTTGGAATGTCTTTGGAGCACCTCTTGCACTGAGGAGTAGCAAAAAAAACAACCCAGATAAACCCAAACAAAAACACACTGTCATGGATTAAAGAACACAGGTTCTCCTGCCAAAAGACTGCTTTATAAGATCATATTGTTACCTGCTTTTAACTTCTGAAGTACTAAACATTTCCTTCTTTTTTAAGAATCTGTTACACTTGTGCAGAAACTGGATACTCACTGCATGTTGCATTAATTGTATGTGTGATAACATATACTT